GAGAACAAAACATACATTCTACCAAGATATGCAGTTTCAAGTCGAAAATTAGTACTTAGTGGCATAGCCACGTGACCGGATAATAGCTGCCAGTCTGAGAGGCAAGGATTCATATAATTGTCTGATGCGTTCAGGGCTTATGCTGGCCCAAGCATGAAACACTGAATCTAACAGAGTTTGTCTGCTGGTAGGACGGGCATTTGTCCAAAAGTTTGACACATCATTCCACACATTTTCTATTATGTTTGCACCCGGACTCTGGACAGGCCACATCACCCTGCGAATGTCTTGTTGGTCAAACCAATCATCAACTGCTCTGGGTCTGTGACAAGGAGCATTGTCATCCTGGTGAACAAATGTATAATTCCTGTCACCAAACATGTTAGTAATAAATGGAAGCAAGCCTGACTCCAAAACATCGATATATTTCTGGTGATTCATGTTTCCATCAACCACTACCGATTAAATAATCAAACACAGTTAGCATTTTAATAACATGCTTGTGACATCAATTGCACCTCTATATTGGGGTTGGGTGTTTGCTCTGACCTCTGATGACAGACGGGTCCGATGCTGGCGAACTGCTGGTAAAGCATTTGAACCACATGCACTGAATTTTTGAACCCGGAGCAGCATATCCATCATGGTGTGGGGCTGCATCAGCATTAGGGTCTCACATGAAGAAGCTTGTATTAAAGTTTCACTCTCCTGGAACCATGAATAATTAAAAATAATTCATCGTTTAACCCCAAAAAGGAACATACGTTACTGTCACAAATACAAAACGTCCAACTGTGAAACGTTCTATTCACTTTGAAAATTTTAGCCATCACTGGTTTTGTTCATTGATTTATCTCCTACAAGTAGCCTATAACGTTGCTAAAAATTATAATAATCTTCTGTATAGAGCAGTTAATTGTTTTTGAGCGACTTCAGTTTGCTTGTCACAGAATGTTAAAAAATGGGGAAAATACACCCTACCAACAGTAAAATAAGCATTAAATAAAACATTTTCCCTTCATGATCCAAATATTATATCAGAAATGTCAAACTATCATGGAACCACAATATATTGTTCGGTCAGCAAAAGAAAACATTGTATCTCTTGCACACAAGTACTTGAACAAAATGAAACATTTTGACAATTTTTCTAGGGAACATACGTT